GTCAGAACCAATAGCACAGCTAAGTTGCCCGGGGGATTTCCGGCTGGACCAGGGACACCTTAGGAGATGCCACCCTGGGAAACAGGGAAAGCAAGCAGCCTGGGAGCCCAGAGAAGAGCCAGATGTAGGACTCCGGGGATAACGGAAGAAAGGGCATCAACTGCCACCACCCGGGACGGAGACAGGAAGGGGAACTTCATGGGACGGCTGAGGAACTGGCACCCTTTTCTGTAGTTTCCACAGCCTGATATAATCCAAGACTGTAACGTGGGCTGCTTGAAGCAGCTCCCACAGCTGGGGCCAAGTGGCTCTGGCAGAGCAGCCGGAGACTCTTGCCTTGCCCTCTCCATGCTGAGCTCTCCGACTGTCCTGGAGAGAAACTGGCTGCTCTGCCCAGGGTGGTGGTCTGCACAACTCTCAAACAGGATTCGTCTTTCACTCTGCAGTCCTGGAACGTCTCACTTAGCCTCTTGCCTGCCGCCAGGCCGTCTAAATTAGGTCAAAATCCGTCTTTATTTGAACGGCATCAGGGGCCATTCCTCAACTTTTGGTGGTCTGTTCTGTGACTTCTGAAAATCCTTGCCGAGGTCAACCAGAAAATGGGCCCCTATGACCCGAGTTTCTAAAAAGCACTCTTGAAAAAAATTGAGTAATGAGTCAATCAATAGGAAAAATAAAGTCAGAGATGGCTCTGCTTCCTAAAGGACAGAGGGCAGGGTCATCTGCAGCTGAGGGAGCGCATTGTGGAGGTGGCAGCAGGCCAGCACCCTGGAGAGTGCTCGAGAGCCTTGCTTGGCACTGAGGGGCTCTACCCGGCCCAAGAGCATGCACAGTGATGGACAGGCCCAAGAGCATGCACAGTGATGGACAAAGGGCATTTGTGCCACACTCTAGAAGGAACGCCAGGAAGCTGTTCATGAGGATCCACTGCCGTCAACATCCCCTCCGAGAACAGAGGATCCTTGAGAAAGGGCATAGTGCTCAGAGACAAAGGGCGCCACCTGACCTCAGGGAGGCACGCAGAGAAGAGTGGGAGGGCAAAGAGGCACCTGCAGAAAGAACCAGGAGGAAGCAGATGCCCGCAGCTATCGGGACCGCCTGGAGGCCCACAGGAGGTGTGGGGAAGGACCTTAGCAGAATATCTGTTGAGCAGCTCTTGGGGCCAGGCTCTAGATGGGCACCTGGACACAATAGCAGAACCCCCACAGAGGGAACCGCCCAGTGGGGTAGACAGGTGTGAGCAGCTGCAGCAGCATGAGAAAGGGGCCCACAGAGGCAGAAAAACCCAGAGGGCTGGGGACACAGCTCAGAGGGGAGCACCTGTCTAGCACCTGGAGGCCCCGGATGTGAACCCCAGGACTGTAGGAAGGGAGGAAGGAGAGAAAGCGGGGAGGGAAGAGCCATGCGGGAAGCTCACGCAGCTCTCACATTTCTGAGGACTTCCTCTGGGCTACGAACATGCAGCGCTGTGGTGGCATCCGAGAACTGAACGTTCAAGAATGATGACAGTCTCCAGTGAGGGACTTGAAAGGTTCCTGCCATGAGGCAATTTGCTGAGACACAAACTTGGACGGGCTGCTTTGAGGCCAGAGAGCACCTGCCAGCAACACAGCTCGTGCGTGGACCCTACCCCAAACTGGCATTGTGTCCAGCACAGTTCAGCTCTTCCAACAGCTACACGGCAATTCTCGTCAGGTTGTCGTGGGCTTACAGTCAGGGAAAGATGGAATTAATGAGGTAGGATATGAGACAATGAAATCAGGAGTCTATTTCAATGGGAAAATTTAAATATCTTTAGAAATTACCTTGGCCCCGTATTTATAGAGCCACTAAGAATCTGAGAGAACTCCTTATACTTTCCAGTTACATATTACTGCATTAGATGTTGGAAATCATCTGTTGTGGTGACACTTATGATTTTGAAGACTCACTAAGGTCAGGAATGGACCCTTTAAGAAAGTCAAGGGGGCAAGTCTGTGGATAATGAATTCATTTTAGTGACACCCTACTGCATATAATAGGGTCTAAAGTTCAAAAAATAAGGAATGTTCTCCCTTACATGATTTCCCTATAATCTGGGGAAAGCTATTGTTCTCTTTTCATTTAAGAGACTTAGCAGAAGCCGAGAGAAGACAAAGGAGATATTTATCCACAATACTGCAATGGATAAGTAACTTAATTGGAAATAGGACCTAATTTTTTAACTGAATGCTTTTCTTTTGGTCTATTTCCTAGAACCTAACAACCACTAAAACTCATGACCCCTTCCCAAAATGACCCCCAAGCACCTCAAACTTAACACCATTCGTCCACAAACCCAACTTGCGGCTGGCTGTTTGTCTCCTTCTGCCCACATATATTTAATTACCAAGTCTTTTGGAAACAGAGTTGATTCATACCTTCCTCCAGCATCTAATCAGCAAGTAAATCAAATCTACCTCCTAAATGACTCTCCAAGGCAGCCAGAGCCCTGCAGCCCCACAGTGCTACCCAGCACAGAGCCAAATCATGCCTGAGACCCTGCTTTCCTATCCTCCACAATGATACAGACTAATTCTTCTCAAAAGCCAACTCTTGCTTTCAACAGCTTTTGCAGAAGGTCCATCTCTGGTCCTATCAACAGCTGGTTCTTGGACGATGGTTCTGCTGTGTTGGTCCACACACCACATGGAGATGCACCTGGACTGTGAGCTGTTTTCTCCACTGAACACACCACCTTTCACACCTATGTGTGTTGCGTTCCCAACCGCTCATCCAACCCTACCCTTTCATCCTTGTCCTCTTGGCAAGCCTCCATCAGCTCTTCAGATCCCTTTCAGCTGTCACTGCTTCAGGAGAGGCATATGTAAATCTCAGACTCTCTTGTCTGGTCTTCTGTGGCACTGGACAGATGTCCCGATTAAGCATGTGTCACAGTTGACTTAACAAGTTGTTTACAAGTCTGTCTTCTCCAGCTTTCTGTGTGCTCTTGTCCAGCTTTGAATTCCTGGTACCCAGCACAATGCGTGGCTCCTGCCAGGCAGCAAGCCAGTGTGGATGATAAAAGGACTTACGATGGAGGTGAGATAAACTGAGAGTCATGCCATCAAAGAGGGAAACTGCTTTTCTGTTAACTATAAAGTGAACCAAGGTAACAGAAAAGTTAAAATAAGGATGAAGAGTGGTTTTAGATCACAACCAATTTTTAAATTACTGGTCACATCTGTCCTAAAGACTAAGTCTAGCAGCCTCCTGCAGCCTGTTAGTGTATTTCACACTTGGGCATTAGGTCCAGCAATGTTCAATGCTCATGGAAGAAATACATAAAAAGAAGCTATTGGCTTTGAAACCTCAGTGTGAGAAGATGCCCAGTAAAAGTGTCTGCTAAATTTTCTTCCTGATGGCACGTTAGCAATAACAGGCACGTGGCAGTAGCCCAACGACACACAACATCCATGGTCTGTGGTGGCAGTTCCCACAGGTCAGCGGCAGCCTGACGCTTCATTCATGTTCACAGACAACTGTTGGGTGGCCGCCTGTGCCAGTCACTCTGCAGCATTCTGGAGAAGCAAGACTAAAACGGAACCCTAAGAGCCCAGGCTTTCTGTGGGGTCTATGGGCTGCTACCAATGGTGCCCAGAATGTCAGGGTTGGGGACATAGGTCTGTGGTCCGACATGGCATGCACCAGGCCCCAGGTCCAATGCCCAGCAGGGGCGTCTGTGTGTGCGGGGGCGGGGACATTCGTATAATTAATAGGTTACTACTGGATCCTGCCTGGTTCCCAATCGCTCTGAGTTTCCCCTGTCCTCGC